TCGTAAATATGTACAAGGTTAGCAGCGAAGATCTCCTGAACTACGAATCAGCTTTCAAGATAGGTATAGCGTAAAACGATCAGGAAGATTCAAAACAAACATTTGTTCTGCCAAAAATTGCTCATGGCTAAGGATGGCTCCGAAAGTAGGTACTTTCGGTAAGACTTTCGACTTTCGGTAGGACTTTCGACTTTCGGTATGACTTTCGGCATGACTTTCGGCATGACTTTCGGCATGACTTTCGGCATGCCAAAATACTTTCGGAGCCATCCTTACTCATGGCACAAAAATCAGCATAAGAAACCACCCTTTGTGCTCTAACAAAAATGGCTTCATTGAATAATTTTACTATATAAACTATCCTTCGCTAGATTGTAACTTTGACTTAACCTAACTTTAACGAATTTTAATAATTTAATCTTCGCCGACAACCTTGTACACATTTACGATATGCAATATTATTTATTCTCTTTACGACCACGTGACATTCCGTCACTTGGCATAACGATAACGATAAGAGACTCTTGTTTTGATCCAGGTACAACGTTTCACAACATTTATATTAGGTTATATATATTGAGGCAAAATCCTATTTTAAAACGTTATACTAAATTCAAAGTGATAAATTTACTGAACGAATCCCTTATTAAAAAATTAATCATAAGTTTTTAAAAATGTCAATGTTACCAAACGAATGCCTTCTTGAAATATTTAATAATTTCAGAACTAAGTATAAAACCTTATTTTCGTGCCTTCTTGTAAACCGTCGGTGATGTAGAATTATTATACCAATATTATGGAGTGAACCTACAGATTATTTAAGTGATGAAAGGCTTTTAAGAATATATCTTTTAGCATTAAATATTGAAGAGCAAGCTTTATTAATCCCATTTAAAATTAATCTTTCAAATTACCAAGGCCATTATTTGAGTACGAAAGTTACACTATAACTGTTGGTATTTGTTTTGCCGATAGTGTCAATAATTGGCTTAAAAATGAAGGATATAATGCCATAAAATATGATGATGAGATTGCAAATGCTATCAAGTGTTCTTTAATTACAATGTTTTTGCGAGCAAGTAAAAAACTTAAACATTTAACACTTAATAATGTTACCGATACAATATTAGCAGATGCACTTTATAAGAAAACCACTCTGTCTTCTTTGAATCTTGAAAATTATTATCTTGAACCGGAAACAATAATTATATTAGCAGATGCACTTTGCAAGAACACCACGCTGACTTCTTTGACCCTTGCTAATAATAATCTTGGATTAGAAGAGGAAAATACATTAGCACTTGTACTTTGCAAGATCAATCAACTGACTTCTTTGAATATTCGCATCAATTATCTTGGATCAGATGAAGGGAAAGCATTAGCAAGTGCACTTTGCAATAACACCACGTTGAAACATTTGGATCTTTTCGACAATAACCTAGGTTTACTTGGAGGAAAAGCATTAGCAGACGCACTTTGCAAAAATTCCATACTGACTTCTTTGAATCTTGGATATAATAATCTTGGATCAGAAGAAGGAAAAGCATTGGCAAATGCTCTTTGCAATAATACCACGTTGAAAAGTTTGACCCTTCATGGTAATAAACTCGGATCATTTGGGGGAAAAGCATTGGCTGATGCACTTTGCAAAAATACCACGCTAAAATTTTTGGATCTTTATGATAATGTACTTGGATCAGATGTTGGAGAAGCGTTAGCAGATGCACTCTGCAAGAACACTAAACTCGCTTATTTGGATCTTGGACATAATAATCTTGGATACGAAGGAGCACAAGCATTAGTAAATGCACTTTGTAAGAATACTACACTGTCTTATTTGAGTCTTATTAACAATAACCTTGGATCAGAAGGAGTAACAGTATTAGTAAATCCAATTTGTAAGATAATTTATTAGATGTACTTTTCAAAAATGTTATTTTGCAAAAATTATAAAAATTGCGAATGCTTATTTTCACCATGAAAAAATTTACTATTTCCACTATTGGACAATTTATTATGACAATCTGTTCGTTATGTTTATGTGGTTGAAGTCGTGTAAAAAGCATAATGTAAATAGAAAATTCCCATGCATGGTAGATATAAGCGTTTTTTTATTATGTCTTTATTATATTTTAAAAAATATTACAATTACTAGTAATAATCTAGCAATTAAAATATAATTAGAAAATTATTTTGTTTCATTACTGTTGAGCATCAACAGTAATTTATAATGATTAAAATTAAATTATCAAATTGAAATTTTAATTTTTTTTTATATTTCGAGTAATATTAAAAATTTAAAAAAAATATTCAGAATTTTATAGAGAATTTTTTATTAAATCTTCAAAGTGGTTTTATTAATAAAATCTTTATTTTATAGTATATACTGGTGGTGATCACCAATGATAATAAATAGCAGTCTTTAATTTAAATATAAATACGTATCTTAAAAATTGTTAACTCAATATCAATAATTTTATTACTATTAGAATCAGAAAATATGAAGTATAACCTTGTTTAAGATTACTAAAAGGTTTACTTAATAACAATATTTGTTCCTGAACACTTTTTAATTAATAGAAAGTATGAATATCAAAAATAAGAAGTATAAATACCAATTCTCTGATTTATTATATGCTTTAAATTTTTGAGTCTTTACCCGATCGTAAGACTTATTATATCGATATTAGCGTAGCTATATTTAAATATGTCATTCCATAAACTTTAATGCATGTCAATTTAAATCAACATGAATTATGAATTTATGTATAACATATGAACCTTTCAAGTTTGTGATGACAACCATATTATAATTAAAGTATATCACAGTAACTCTAACTTTTTTCAGATTGATAACATTATTAAATTCTGTAGCTAAATAATTATTAAAATAATAATACAATCAATTGTGATTGTGCATTTAGAAGTGTCAAACAATTCTTTGAGACCAAGTCCTGATTAATTATTGGACGACCCCAAGGCAAATTTGTAATTGATATCAATTTTTCATGATTGATTAAATAGAATTCATTTAGAATTTATCACAATTATTATAATACGACAATGTGAAACCCGAGCTGTAAATTAGTAAAATTCGCTGCGCAATAAAAAACATAGTAATTTCACCTCCAACGTGATCTACGTAGCGGGTTTTACTAATTTGCAGTGCGGGTTTCACCCTCTCTTATTAGCACCCATAGGCAGAAGTTTGTCTGATTGGCTAATAAATTCAATATAATTTTACATTATTTATACAGTTTAGAGTACTTTTTTAAAAAACGAAAACCAACCACAATAAAGTAAAAAAAACATGTAGAAGCCATAGCCAAAAATAAGATCTAATTCTCGTCCGTTTAAAAAAGTTAAAAGTATAGCAATAACTTCTCAAAATCCGATAAAATCAACTTATTACAAAACTAATTTTTTAAACGGACGAGAATTAGATATTTTTGACTATGGGAGTCCTACAACTCTAATGAAACCTTCTATATGTTTTTTTTTTACTTTATTATGGTTGGTTTTCGTTTTTTTAAAAGGCACTCTAAACTGTATAAATAATGTAAAATTAAATTGAATTTATTAGTCAATCAGACGAACTTCTGTCTATGATATTAGCACCCAACAATTGGGTCCGGATAATTGTTCGGATAATTAGATTGGAATTATTAAGCTAAAGAAATTACGTATGCATTACATCATTAATTTATACGTACAAATATCTTTTCGCAAAAGATACAAAGTTTATTACATTACAAGCACATATTTTATTATTGTAAACTATTCACTATTTTGCAAGTTAAAGCTACAATATAAATTAGAATCTAAACAAACTATTAGATATATGAATCTATCTACCTATTTTAACGATTACTTCCACCGGTCCATAAGTATTGAGAGTTATTAAAAACTAAAGTCACTTTGGAAAACTTGATAATTTGCGAACATTGATATTAACGAAGATAGATTCTTTGAAGCGAGTTCATGAGTTTCAAGAAAAATCAACAACGCGATGCTTCTGACTAGAACTTATCCAGTTAAGAGGATTAAAGTCATTTTTAAAAAGGTGAAACACTGCCTGTAAAATTGTATAAACGTTGTAAAACATACGAAATATTGGTTTATTGAATTGAAACAAGCCAAGCTTAATATTAATAAACCAAATTTATATGCAGTTTAATATAAAAATTTTTAAAAATCCATATAGTCAAACTATCGTGAAATTTCAAGTTTTGAGTTCGTTGTATTCAGAGTCGGTAATATATATAATATATGCACTTTTTTTAACAAAATCTTTGTATTAATCGAAGTTGCTTAATGTCTTAAGTGATCATCCGGACTATTATCCGGGCGATTATTTTCTGTTATAATTATATACCCATTGGTTTATATCCACATTAGGTTGGAAAATTACCGCAATTTTACGTAATATTACATAATTTTTGCAAAAAATTTTTATAACGCTGAACATAATGATGGATATCTATTAGTGCTGGCTAAACTTTTTGTAATGTCGATAAAATTATCATGTGACAATGCAATTCAATGTAAAGTTACATTACAATTTCGTAAGTTGGTAATTTACAAATTTGCATGAAACGTAACAAAGTAATTTATGTAATACATTCTTAATCCTTGACTAAAATTCCCTTAACGTTATACGTAATCGGAAAATCTGATTTTACATGCATGATATCATGATCTGCAGACCAATAAGAATTGGTCAGGAACGTAATAGGAGTACAGTAATAGAAGTCTACATATGTATTTGTAAAGTAAATATCACGTGATACATATAAATTACCTCCTACATAACACAGGATTACAACTTGATTTTAATCACGAGGTTTAAAAGGATTGTCTACGCCAAAAATCTTTTCGCTACGTAATGAGATCGATAAATTTGGTATAACATGTACGTACGTACATAATGTATAAATAACTCGGCTTAAAAACTACTGCAACTTCAATTTTTTCCGTCACAAATTGGGTAGTTTGCGAAAATGAATTCTCATAGTACTCAAATCCTCACCAAGAAAGTCGAACTTGATAATAAAGTAGAACCTCATATTCCAGTTGAAGATAGGATTTCTAGAATTTTTAAAAATCCAAAAATATACGCACTTTCTTTCAATTATGATGATGCAGCAAACTCTAAAAGGACAGTTCTTGAGAGTACTAACTGTACTAATGGCTTTGCAGCTGCTAT